GACTTGTTTTTCCAGCACATTCCACAGATGCTTGATTGAAGTGAGATCTGAAGAATTTGAGGTCAAATAAGCACCTCAGTTCATTGTTCTGTTCCTCAAACCATTCTTGAACCATTTTTTACAGTGTGGCAGGGTACATTATCCTTCTGGAAGAGGTCACTGTCATCAGGGAATACTGTTTCCATGAAGGGGTATACTTGTTCAGCAACAATGTTGAGGTAGGTGGTACGTGTCAGGTAATATCAACAGGAATGGCAGGACCCAAGGTTTCCCAGCAGAACATTGCCCAAATTATCCCATTGCCTCTGCTGGCTTGCTTTCTTCCCAAACGGCATCCCGGTGCTATCTCTTCCCCAGGTAAGCAACGCACTTGCACCCGGCCATCCACATGATATAAAAGAAAATGTGGTTCATTAGACTAGGCCACCTTCTTCCATTGCTCTGTGGTCCAGTTCTGATGCTCATGTGTCCATTACAGGCACTCATTGCTGTGGACACTTGCCAGCATTGGCGCCCTGACTGATCTGTGGCTACAAAGCCCCATACACAACAAACTGCGATGCCCATTTTTGTCTGCTTTCAACACATCAACTTCAGGGACAACATGTTTACTTGCTGCCTTAATATATTCCACCCACTTTTTGATGCCATTGTAATAAGATAATCTATGTTATTCACGTAACCTATCAGTGGTCATAAGGTTATGGCTGATGGATATGTAAAGCACTGCATGAATTGGGCTTTTATGTGGTAGCAAATTTGGGTATGTATATTTTTTTCTTTATTGGGAATAAAAAAAAAAAAAAAAAGGAAAAATTTACTTTTCTTTCATTTTTTGCTACACAAAATTTACATAATTTGCACATTCGCATATAATTACCCCAAAATACAACAATCAACAGTCCGTTGAATAAAATGATACCACATTAATGTGACTTCAGGTAACACAGTGGAATGGTAATACTCATAGTGGACATATGTTTTATTTTAGCAGAGCTTTAGTATCCTTTCAATACTACATTGAAGAAGAAGAAAGGCAGTTTGCATAAATTGTTTGCGTAACATTAAAATAAGTTCAAGTCAGGTTAACGAGCGCACAGCTTAGCAGAACAGTGACTTTTTCAGTGTAATGCTAATGTTCAAAACCACCATATAAATACAAATATAGGATAACCTATATATAATATTTCCACATCCCACCAACTTGTCAAACAAATAAGGTTTAAATGAATACTATGTGAAAATATCACACATACTGTATATAAAATAATTTGTGAAAACAATTCCAATATTCTGTGAACAGAGCCCATATAGAGGGTGATCAATAATACAGGGTGATCAATAACCAATTAATTGTGTCACCACATAGTGTCCATAAAAAGTCCACATAAACCAGTGTTGCTCCAATCTTCAATCTGTGAAAACCAGTGCAACAAACTATAATAGTGTCCCCATGAATACACTCCAGCCTCTTAGCAGATTGTGGTGACCATTATATTCAGAAATGGTCAATCAGTGCTTAAAGGGTTTATACATCCTCGTTCAATCGCACCATCGAGAGCATATCACCAGAGAGCTTCCGATCAACTACTCAGTAAAGATAAATAAAGGAAACAAAGAGCAACACCATAGTGTAATCTTGTTTAAAAGAATTTATTTAGAAAATCCAAAGAGTGCACTTACATATAGAAAATTGGTAAAAGCAGTATTGATCAATGAATCTCCAATGGGTAAGCAGTTAGATCCTGGCCAGCTGAGGACTAGTGTGCATCAAGATGTCATTTCCTTAGGCTCTGCCCTATGTGTTTCGTTTTGCCTGAAAATCCTTAAGGGATATACACTGCAAAAAAAAATTAAAGGAACACTTTTTAAGCAGAGTATAGCATCAAGTTTATTAAACTCTTGGGATATTGATCTGGTCAGGTAAATAGCAGAGGGGGTTGTTAATATTGGGATATTGATGTGGTCAGTTAAATAGCAGAGGGGGCTGTTAATCAGTTTTAGCTGCTTTGGTGTTAAGGAAATTAGCAACAGGTGCACTAGATGGGCAACAATGAGAAGACCCCCAAAACAGGAATGGTTTTACAGGTGGAGGCCTTTGACATTTTTTCCCTACCCATCTTTTCTGACTGTTTTTCACTAGTTTTGCATTTGACTAGGCTTGTCAGTGTCGCTACTGGTAGCATGAGGCGATACCTGGACCCTACATAGGTTGCAAAGGCAGTCCAACTCCTCCAGGATGGCACATCAATACGTGCCATTGCCAAAAGGTTTGCTGTGTCTCCCAGCACAATCTCAAGAGCATGGAGGAGATTCCAGGAGACAGGCAGTTAGTCTAGCAGAGCTGTACAGGGCCATAGAAGGTCCTTAACCCATCAGCAGGACCAGTATCTGCTCCTTTGTGCAAGGAGGAACAGGATGAACACTGCCAGAGCCCTACAAAATGACCTCCAGCAGGCCACTGGTGTGAATGTCTCTGACCAAACAATCAGAAACAGACTTCATAAGGGTGGCCTGAGGGCCCAATGTCCTCTAGCAGGCCCTGTGCTCAGTGCTTGGCACCATAGAGCTTGATTGGCATTTTCCATTGAACACCAGGATTGGTAAGTTCGCCACTGGCACCCTGTGCTTTTCACAGATGAGAGCAGGTTCACCCTGAGCACAGGTGACAGACATGAAAGGGTATGGAAACCATGTAAAACATTGTCAGACCCTACGCTGGGTTCCTCCTGGTGCACGACAATGCCCAGCCTCATGTGGTGAGAGTATGTAGGCAGTTCCTGGAGGATGAAGGAATTGATACCATTGAATTGCCACCACACTAGCCTGACATAACTCCAATAGAACACCTCTGGGATATCATGTTTTGGTCTATCCGACGCCACCAGGTTGCACCTCAGACTGTCCAGGAGCTCAGCTATGCCTTGGTCCAGATCTGGGACGAAATACCCCAGACACCATCCATTGTCTCACTAGCAGTATGCCCCAACGTTGTCAGGCATGCATACAAGCATGTGGGGGCCATACAAACTATTGAGGACCATTTTGAGTTGCTGCATTGAAATTTAGGCAAAATGGACTAGCCTGCTGCATCATTTTTTCACTTTGATATTCGGGTGTCTTTGAATTCAGTCCTCTGTAGGTTGATAATTTTCATTTCCACCAAACGATGGAGCATCCTTATGTTCCCAACACATTACCCAGTCCATATCAGTATAGATATCCAGCATGAGATTTTTCCCCATTGAGATCTCATGTGTTTTCAGTGTTCTTTTAAATTTTGAGCAGTGTATAAAAGGTGTACTCTCACTCATACATAAAATTGCTCCTAATATGACTTTTGGGTTTTTAGTTTTCCACAGGTTTACTATTGCTAGAAATTTGAATAACATTGTGTTCAGTTATGTGATCATTTGATGTTTGCACAGTGAAAGCAAAAGTCATCCAGATCAGAAATCAGAGAAAACCCATGTAAGGACAGAGAGAACATGCACATTCTGAGCAATGTTTTGGGTTTGATTTGAACCAAGAACCCTCAGTACTGCAATGCAGAAAGGATTTGCAGCACAGGGATCAGCATTTGCATTTGATAAGCATGCAGTGAACGAAAAAGTCATCCAGATGATATGACATCATTGTTGCGACTTAGGGATCCTTTTTCTTTTTGGAAGAGAACTTTTTTATTCCCTATCATAATCCACTATAGTTCAGCTGCCTGTGGAGAATCCTCTCACAGGGATAGTCTCAGCTAGTATGATTGTTAGTCATATGGCCTTAAGCACATCGTATGTAGTGTCTGTACGTGTTTACCTTCAAAGCCAGACATCTGCTTTCCGGACAAGGTATCCTCTCCCCTTTCCTTTAACCATGAGTCCCTAGGTTTCCTTCTCCTTACATCCCTTGCTGTATTTTTCTGATTGAAGTATTTCAGGAAAATACAGCATTATGGCCACTAGATGGAGCTGAGAATCATAGAAAATAAATAAATTAGACGCATTACAGGGATTATTTACAGCTTTGCAAATGCTGTGACGTTCGGACATCATTTTTCTAAATAGATCCATTGGTTTTTATAGGGAACATATGCATTTTTCTTTAATTTTTCTCAACACAGTAAGGTTTATTTACTAAAGCTGGAGAGTGCAAAATCAGGTGCACTTCTGCATAGAAACCAATTAGCTTCCAGGTTTTATTGCCAAAGCTTAATTGAACCAGCTTTAGTAAATCTCCCCCAATGTTTACATATTTTTCCCTCCATAAGATATACTTTTCCCCCCCCAAAAAAATGGGGGAAAATGTCTGTGCGTCTTATGGAGCGAATATGGAGCAGCAGGCCCGGTATTGCCCCCTGTGGCCAGTTGCTCGGCTCTACTGTGCAGAAGAACCTGCTCCTCGATCCTACCTGTTCCTCGGTCCAGTGGTGTCCTGCTTTCACCGGGCCCGTCTTCTCTCCCTGGTGCCGGCATCTTCAGTGTGGGCATCCGGCTGTGACAGCTTGCGGCTTCACAGCCAGGTGCCCACTGCGCATGCGCGAGAAACGCTGTGCTTTGTGAATGGCCTTGTAGTCTTCTGGGACCTGTCACGTGTCCCCAGGGGGGACTAACCATTTGGAAACTCGGCCACTGCCCGAGGGCCTGGGGTCAGTAGGGGGCCCCATGAGATGCCCCCTAGTACCTTTTTCATAGGCTTTTTTGAGCTTGGGCAAGGACACAGGGGCCCCACGATCCCCTATTGCCTGGGGGCCCCATAAGTTGTCAGTCCATCCCTGCATGTCCCAAAAGACTAAGGGGAGGGAGGGGAGGAGGACAACCGGGGAAGTGGGAGTGGGTACCTGTCAAATTTAGGTACCCGCCCCATCCTCACCCCGCGCTCTCCAAAGGTCTGCAGTCTCTGGTCATCTCCTGTAATATGTCCGCAGTCTCTGGTCATCTCCTGTACTATGTCGGCAGTCTCTGGTCATCCCTGTACATGTCAGTCTCTGGTCATCCCCTGTACTATGTCCGCAGTCTCTGGTCATCTCCTGTACTGTGTCCGCAGTCTCTGGTCATCCCTGTACTATGTCCGCAGTCTCTGGTCATCCCCTGTACTATGTCCGCAGTCTCTGGTCATCCCCTGTACTATGTCCGCAGTCTCTGGTCATCTCCTGTACTATGTCTGCAGTCTCTGGTCATCTCCTGTACTATGTCCGCAGTCTCTGGTCATCTCCTGGTCATCAGTCTCTGTCATCTCCTGTACTATGTCTGCAGTCTCTGGTCATCTCCTGTACTATGTCGCAGTCTCTGGTCATCTCCTGTACTATGTCTGCAGTCTCTGGTCATCTCCTGTACTATGTCCGCAGTCTCTGGTCATCTCCTGTACTATGTCCACAGTCTCTGGTCATCCCCTGTACTATGTCTGCAGTCCATTGTTTTTTTTCTTGTTTTCCTCTAAAATCTAGGTTTTTCTTATGGTCAGGTGCATCTTCTGGAGTGAAAAATACAGTAATTTGTGCCTCCCCCCCCATATATTTACTCTGGGTTTCAAGCTCAAAGTGAATTTATGCATTTTACTTTAGGTTTTATTGCTCTTTCAGTGCTAGTGCCAGGGTCAAAGTTATGGTCAGAGTCAAGGTTATGGTCAGAGTCAATGTGTTTTATTTAGAATTAAAAAAAGGGCTTTTAGGTCGGATAAAAAAACTAAAAACAAATAAAAAACCACAATCTGCACTATGGTGTTTTGGTCTTACTAAGGGTACAAACAGCAAATAATGTACACATATACTGTATGGTATACAGTAGGAGTAAGATTTTTTTTGTTGCGGACCATGGTAATGGCAAGAAATATAGAGATACATTTTGCCCTCCAGAGAATTTACCCCCCTTCCTGACCAGGCCATTTTTTTGCGATACAGCGCTGCGTTACTGTAAATTACAATTGTGTGGTCATGCAACACTGCACCCAAATAAAATTTATGTCTTTTTTTTCCCAACAAATGGAGATTTCTTTTGGAGGTATTTGATTGCCTCTGTGTCTTTTATTTTTTGAGCTATAAACAAAAAAGAACGACAATTTTGAAAAAAAAAAACAATATTTTTTACTTTTTGTTATTAAACATGTCTAGTAAAAAAAAAATTAAAAATCAAATTTAAACATAAATTTAGGCCAAAATGTATTCTGCTACATGTCTATGCTAAAAAAAAATTCTGAAATTAATTGGTTTACATGTAAGTTATAGCATCTGCAAATAGCAGTATATACAGTATAGTAGAATTTTTTTTTTCTATACTGGTGGTGATCAGTGACTTATAGCGGGCCTGGGGTGGGCATTCTGACACTGGGGAGGAACTGACTAACTGCCACTGACATCCCCAGTGACACTAATACAATGATCAGTGCTCATAAAAAGCACTGATACTGTATTAATGACACTGGGCAGGAAGGGGTTAACAGCTGGGATGATCAAAGGGTTCACTGTGTGCTGTGTGCTGTTTTACTGTGTGCTGTGTTTTACAGTGTAAGCATGATGCTTTGTATTGCTCTACTATTCAGAGCAATACAAAGCAGTGTGCTGGGGCTGACAGGGGAGAGATCTGTATTGTTTACATATGGACCTCTCCCCCATCAGTGATACCCGGCAATCGCCGGCTGCCTGCAGGAAATCACCAGTCGAGACCCGGTGATTGACAGCTGAAGCCGCCAATCACGCCCCCTACCCGGAAATGCAAAATCACATGTATATACTGTACGTGATTCTGCGCAGCCGTGCCGCCCTGTAGCAATATTTCTGCTATAGGGTGGTGGGCAAGCAGTTAAAAAATATCTTTTTTGGGCCAGTTTACTTTTGATAATATCAAAAGGAGATATCTGTTAGAAAATAAGGTACTATCTGCCTAGGTACCCTAAGTAGTTACAAAGATATGCACAGTTTTACTAACAAATGCCAAAGTTGCAAAACGGAATTCATCCTTAAGATTCGTTTTACTTTCTGTCGTGAAGGGACTAAGCAAAGATTAAGCTGGGTTATCAAGGGCACAGATTGTCACAAAGGTGACTTTTTCACAGGCTTGAATCCAACCCTGAGGTGAAATGTCATCCCACTGGACCACTGGAGGTCCCGGTCTCTAGGGGTAAGTGGGTAATACATCTGTTAAAGAGAAAATGAACTCTCAAAGCTGTGCCTCCCAAAAGCAAGCAGGGTGAAAAGGACTACTCACCAGTTTTCATGTGATCATCCCAAACATTGCCAATCTTCACTTTTATATGCAGGTCTACTTTAAGAGCTCATGTTGGTGGGCATTGTTTTCCTACATGTGACATGTATTTGGAATGTACAGTATCTCACAGAAGTGAGTACACCCCTCACATTTTTGTAAATATTTTATTATAACTTTTCATGTGACAACACTTAAGAAATTATACTTTGCTAAAATGTGACGTAGTGAGTGTACATCTTGTATAACAGTGTAAATTTGCAGTCCCCTCAAAATAAATCACACACCACCATTAATGTCTAAACCACTGGCAACAAAATTGAGTACACCCCTAAGTGAAAATGTCCAAATTGGGCCCAAAGTGTCAATATTTTGTGTGGCCACTATTATTCTCATGTTAGCTTTGTTCTCCATCCATCAAATCTGCATGTTTATATGCCAGAATTAGTACAGCTCCTGTCTACCTTCTGGATCAATCAGATGTAAGCATTACAGGTCTCATAGACCCTAGTGCTACAGTGGTGTCCCCCTCTCCTTCTGGCCATTCACAAGACACACATTTAGTGAATGGCCGGGGGAGAGGGAGGTGGAGACATGACCATGGGGTTGGGGTCTATGAGCACCTGCAGTGCTTATATCTAAATGGGCAGAAGATGCAGCAGGAGCTGTACTAATCCTGGCATGTTTACAAACAGATTTGCAAGATGTAGAATAAAGTCAGAATGATGGGGGGTTGATTTTGTTGCAAGGGAATCTATAATGTCTAGTACACACAATGAGAAAATTGAATGAAAAATACCGCTTTCGAATCCATCATCTGATAATCTGATTGTTAGTACACAGCTTTCTAGAGCCAATCGGGACAGTTTATGGCAAATTACTTTGCTAGGAAGTTTGCCCCAGACCTTAGAGAATGTGGAGATGTTTCACTTTATAAAGAATACCCAATCACATGCAAGTAAAATAAAAAAGGAGTTTTGCTTGCATATTATTGGATGATGGAAGTCAGCAGAGCTTCACCCCATTAACTAAACTCTAGTGCAATTTTCTTGCAAAATTAAGAGCCTATTTGCCTTTAATAAATCAACGTAATTAGTCACCTTTATGATTAGGCCCTTATTGGGTAAAATGCCTCCAAAAGACACTCCAAGATTCACCCTACCTGGGACCCATACATCCCAGGTAGGGTGAATCTTGGAGTGTCTATGTAGTTTAAAGAAGTTTTAAAATCAACTTGGTGTAGCATTTGCTCCATATTGCTTGGTGGATTGTGACTGGAGACACTCTCAGGAGCTACTGTATGTCTGCCTCAAGATGGAAAGTGGATACTGAAGAGAGGGCTTTGGAGCAATATTGTTTTTATCACTTGGAATGCCCGCCTGCAGTGTACTGCACCACCTCTTTCCCGCCTGGCCGACAATTGCTGTAATTGGTCACAGCAGAAATTTGTCCCGGCCAATGATTCATGGTCCCCACCATGAATCATGGTGGTCTGATCGGCTGTGTCCAATGACAGCCAACATCCCTGTTGTTGACAAACACAGGGATCTGCACAGATGGACAAATCTGTGTCTGTTTCCTCTCCCTGCAAATCAGGGAGAAGAAACAAACAGATCTTTAGCAATAAACAGCACATACTGTCCTACACATATTAACACTTGTTAGGCACACACTTAACCCCTTGATTACCCCAAGATGTTAACCCCTTCCCAGCCAGTGTCATTAGTACAGTGACAGTGTATAGTATTATCACTGATCACTGTATTAGTGTCACTGTAATGTCAGTGTCAGTTAATGTCAGACTGCCCGCTACACTACCACTATAAGTTGCTGATCACCACTAGTATAAAAATAAATATATTAAAATTCCAGTATATATACCATAGTTTGTAGATGTTATAACTGTCACACAAACTAATCAATATACACTTTATTGGGATTTGTTTTACCAATGACATGTAGGAGAATACATTTTGGCCTAAATTTATGAAGAAATTAGATTTTTAAAATTTTTAAATTGGATGTGTTTTATAGCAGAAAGTAAATATTGTTTTTTTCATTTATATAATAGAAAATAAAAACCCAGTGGTGATACATCAAAATAAAGCTTGATTTCTGTGAAAAAAATATATAAATTTAATTTGGGTACAGCGTTGCATTACCGTGCAATTACCAGTTAAAGTAGCGCAGTGCTAAATAGAAAAAAAAAATGACCTGGTCATGAAGGAGGTAAAACCTTCTGGAGCTCAAGTGGTTAATGAATATTATTTCAGACAGTTTTTTGATTATTCTTGAGTGATAATCTAGGAGGGTATTGCAAATGACCTTAATGGTGGATTTAAATGTTTCCAAGCTTACTGTTCGGAGGGAGGAGGACAAAGAAGACATGCCGCTGCATCAAACTGTATGTTTAACCAGAGGCGTCCCTAGGGTTGGTGTCACCCGGTGCAGTAACATGTGGTGTCACCCCTCCAGAGAGGAAGAAGCGGTGTAGCAGTAAAATGAGTGTCCCGACCTGTCAAGATATGTATCCCCTGAAGCAACTGCGCATGTCCTGGTTTCAGGCCAAAGAAGCCGATCTCCAACTTTATCACAGAGTTGCCACAGTTAACCCCTTACAGGCTGCAAGCCACTGAAGCTGATCCCGCGGATCACTATGGGTTGCAATATCAGTTAGGTTCAACCTATATGGGTTTAGCTGATCTTGCAACCCATAGTGATCCGCGGGATCAGCTTCAGTGGTTTGCAGCCTGTAAGGGGTTAACTGTGGCAGCCCTGTGCTAAAGGCAGAGATCGGCGATCAGCTTCTTTAGCCTGAAACGGCACATATGCAGTTTCTTCAGGGGATACATATCTTCACGGGATACTCATTTTACCACTACACCGAGGGCAGCTGTCACTGTGACAGGAATCCGGGATCACCCCAATAACTGGCCAGGACCTTCACGGAGTCCAGAAGCTCTGTTGGCATCCTGCTCCTGCACCCTGTCACCCGGTGCGGCCCGCACCCCCCGCATACCCCTAGGGACGCCACTGTGTTCAACATTTAACAGAAACAAGACCCATACCCAAAAGCAAAAAGTAATAAAATGCAAAATTATATAAGACTGAGTTGTTATAGTGCTATTAAAGGCTAGAATTGGCATTATTTTTAAAATGAAACTATAACAAAATGGCCTACAACAGCTGCCCACATAGGATCAGCTTTAACCCAAGTTTGGCCAATGTAAAAAAAGATGCCATTGCTACTTTATGATCATTGCCCAGAGTATACCACATGTTATTAATCAGGATTCTGA